TCATCGTCTGCTTCGAAAGAATTCTTCCTATTCAATGCGCTGCCCGCAGAAGCTGATGGGAGATTGCCATAGCTCTTCTGGCCCCGATCCTGTGATATTCCCCTTGGACTAGAAATTCCTTGCCCTTGTTGACGTAGACCTGTAGGTTTTGATACATGTACAGGTGCTGGCTGGGGTTCTGGATCGTTGCCATATGCATCATAAGGATCGTATTCATCATCGTCTCCCCAGTCATCACCTCCATAATCTATCTTCTTTGCCTCAGCCCATTTTTTCGTCTTTTGTCGATTTACGTTCGCGCGATAAGATATGGGAGTATTTGAACCTGGAGACATCGGAGTCCTAGGAATACATGGTTTAGCAAAATGTGATTTTACCCATGGGAGTGGGTGGTCAAAGAAGCCTACATTAATGACCCATTCTTGTCCGAGGTGGCAATATATGGCCTGGCCATGATGCGACAACAAACATTAATTTCTCGCGATCCACGAGAGAATCATATTTTGAACCATAAAATATGATGGAAAGAGGGCCGAATTATGAACACGAAATGAAGTGCGGAAGTACCAAATGAAGTTCTTGTAAAGAATGTCAAGAATGTCAAGAAAGAAAGAAAGAGTAGGACAATGGGTATTGGTACAGTCTGAGTGCGTAGTGGATCGGATAAGATTTGATTAAATATACGTCGTAGTCTCTAGCAAGTTCCTGTAAGTACCAGGTACGGAGGTATCGGAAATCTTCAGATGAATGGCTTAATGCTCATGCTGTGGTTGCGTGATTGACCCGTTTCTTGAAAGGAATGGGGTAAGGGAAGGGGTTTTTAAGAGACACAGTACGCAAGGTTATCAATGTATAGGTACGGAAGTATGACGAAAGGATGAAACGTGAGAAACTACGAGACGAGGAATTTATGATGTGAATCTCAACCTTTCATTTCATTAAAATGAGATGAGATGAGTTGTTCAATGTTGATGGATGTGATGAATGTTTTTAGTGAGGGGTGTCCGATATATGTACACCTAGGTCAGTACTCTACAGTGAATACAAAGAATAAAATAATATAATAGAATATCTAAAATATACTTAGGTATTTACTTATTATTATTCAATTCTTTTAATACATACAAATCCAACTGGGAGACGAAACAAACCATGGCGATTTGATGAATGTATTCACCTCTCCACGAATCATATGACAGTAGGTACCTAGGTACTTATTATTCATTCATTCGTGGTACTACCAATGCGGGTACTAGGGATGTACTCATTGTCACTTCATAGATGGGAATGCTTTACCCTTGGCCACCCCAAGGTCATTATCTATTATTGTTGACGGTTGAGTTGAGAGCTCAGCCACAACCGCAACCACAACCACAACACCCTTTGAATTTTGAAGTTTGAAGTTTGAAGATATCTTAGCACCTCCAGCTGATACCAATGAAGACACCTAGGTATAAAAGTATGAGGTAGATAGATATTCATTTCATTCTTACTCCCTAGTACCTAGTCCCTAGGAACTCTTCACTCTTCTGCTTAAAATAAACTCATGGGCAAGGGCAAACCTGAAAGCACATGCATGCACAGCTGCACCCTGCACAGCCAACATTCTTTTCGCTTGGCCTTATCATTCATTATTCGCATTCGCCTTCGCCTTCGCCTTCTAATCGAGCGACCTTAGGTCCTACCCAGATACCACCCGGGTACCCAAAGCTGGAGTTTATCATTCCAAGGTTCCGAGCGTCTTCAGGCTGGTTGACTGGTTTCAGGCTTAATTGAACACCAAAAACCAAATACTGAGATACCGAGACCCTGCAATCAAGAACATTACAGACGACTTACAAAATAACCAGCTGTTCTATTACTGTATAGTGTAATAATTTACGTGTAATTTACTTATCATACCATCATTGTTACCCCTTCATGTGATGTATAGTAGTAATACCTTATTAATAAGGGATTAATAAGCGATAGCTTTCGTCACTTAACTAATTCTACATTCTTTAAATTATAACAATCTTGACAATCATGAACTTCAACTTCAACTCATCACCCTTATACAATCACAATCAATCCTCTTCTACTTTGACTTTTTATTATGAATAACTTCCAATAAAGAAATCATATCATATCATTTAACTTTCTTTTACATTCCTTGAAACAATACTATCCCATTGTCCTCTCCGTTCAACATTCAACATTACACCCTGTACTTAACAATAATTAAATTGCGCCTCGAGGTCTAAACAAGCAATCGAGCCACAGGCAACAATCAAAGAAATTCAAACACTCACAACATCACACTCGAAACCCACGAACAAAGAGAATAATCCTGCGCTTACACCACCAATATATCCCTATACTTTGATACACGATTGCACGAAAAAAATACGAAACATATATTCTCATAAACCGCCGCCATGGCCGTCGCATCCATACAGGACAGAACCAACGAGTTTCGATCCGTCCTCACACAAGTAAAAAAGAGACAAGCCGCGTCGAAAGTGGGAGCGCAGAGACAATCACTTCTTTCCGATTCACAAAAGGCCGCCGCCAATGGAGATGCGAGTGCACATGGCAAACCCAGGCGATCGGAGTTTGCGAGGAAGGCGGCGGAGATCGGGAGAGGTATCACGGGGACGATGGAGAAGCTACAGAAGTTGGCGGAATGTACGATGAGATTCCCGGAATTCACAGACACGGATGCATATTTCACGCAGAACAGAATACTGATGGACAAATAGTGGCCAAGCGGAAAACGCTCTTCGACGACCGACCGGTGGAAATCAACGAACTCACCTTTATCATCAAACAAGATCTCTCCTCCCTCAACCAACAAATCTCCAGTCTCCAAAGCCTCACCCGCGCCCAGCATCCCAAGGCCGATCAGGAAGGCGAGCACAACAAAAATGTCGTCTTCATGCTGCAGGGGAAACTCACCGACGTCTCGGCCAACTTCAAAGATGTCCTCGAGGTGCGCACGAAAAACATCCAAGCCTCGCGCTCCCGCACCGAGAACTTCGTCTCCGCGGTCTCGTCCCACGTGCAGCCGAACCTGTCGCACTCGGCCAGCCCGCTGTATAGCACCCCCACGCGAGGCAGTCCGGGCCCCGGCCAGGATCTGTTAAGCTTGAATCCCGTCGGCGATCAACAGTTGTTGATGATGGAAGAGGCGCAGCCGCAAAATGAATACATTCATCAGAGAGGAGAGGCCATCGAAGCTATCGAGAGGACCATCAATGAACTCGGAGGTATCTTTGGACAGTTGGCGACGATGGTTTCGGAACAGAGTGAGATGATTCAACGGATCGATGCGAATACGGAGGATGTGGTGGATAATGTTCAGGGGGCGCAGAGAGAGCTGCTGAAATATTGGTCGAGGGTCTCCGGGAATCGCTGGTTGATTGCTAAGATGTTTGGGGTTCTTATGATATTCTTTTTGTGAGTTTTTTTCTCGATTCGTCCCCTTTTATATCTTTCGTATCATTCATACCACCAATTCGGCCATCCATCCATCCATCCCCTCATCCATCCCCCCATCCATCCCCTCATCCATCCCCCCATCCATCCCCTCATCCATCCCCCCATCCATCCCCTCATCCATCCCCTCATCCACCCATCCCCCCACAAAAAAAACCAACCAACCAAACAAACAGACAGACTAACACATACAATATAGATTATGGGTCTTGATCGCGGCTTAGACTCTTGACAAGAATTAAGATAGATAGATAGATGACCTTACGTTATGCGACGCGATGGATGCCATTGTATTATTATTCTTCTTCTTATTACCTATTGTGGCAAACCTTACTACCTACTCTAGATGAGATCAATATACCTTTTAATGAAAATTATGTTATCATATTATATTTTTTATATTATAATGATGATGATGATGATGTGGTATGATGATGATGATGATGTGGTATGATGTGGTATGATGTGGTATGATGTGGCATGGAATGGAATTATGAAATTGTTTAAGAATGTGGGAATGAGGATATTAGTATAAGTGTATGAGAATGAGAATGTTAGTATGAGGATATAAATGAGTGTATGGATGAGTGTATGAGAATATGGATATTTGAGAATATGAGTTAAAACTTGATGCAGAGTAATGGGTGTAGATGGGAAGGGAAGTAGGTAGATGGGAAGGAAAGTAGGTAGATGGGATGGAAAGTATCTAGGTAGGTATCTAGTTGGAGTTGGTTGTGAGAGGAATGGAATGGAATGGAATGGAATGGGATTGTGTGTTTGGGTATATGGATGGAATTGATATGGAGGGATGGATGGATGGATGGATGGATGGATGGAATTGAAGTGATCTATATCCAAATATTCATTTAGAAAATACATACCTAGGTAGTGAAGGTAGGGGGGTAGGTTGGTTGGTAGGTACCTACCTACCTAGGTCGGTTGGTTGGTATATACACATACAATAGATTACCTCCACTATATACACATTCCAACAAGCCCCCTCAACTCTCTCTACAACATGCTATTTATTATTCCACCATCCCAAATCCAAATCTCGAAAATTAAATACCGGTATGTATCTAATTACTAGGTATCTATCTATCTACTCTTCTAGAAAATCAAAAAGTTCGGGCTAGATATCTAGATATCTAGGTAGATAGATAGGTAGATAGATAGGTAGATAGATAGGTAGGTAGATAATTAATATTTGGCAATCATAGGTAGGCATGGATGGATCTGATAATTAGTTATATGGATCATATCAAAAAACCTCTCCACTCCTCCCCCCCTCTTCATCCAGAATATCCACCTGTGAAAAAAACCCTCTCTCCTCTCCACTCCACCTCTCCACTCCACTCCTCTCCACTCCACTCCACTCCCCACACACACACACCTTCCCTTCAGTTCATCCACAGCCAAAATTCTCTTTTCCCTTCCCAAAAACCCCCCAAAATCCCCAAAAAAAAAAAAACAAAAAAAAACAAAAAAGAATAAATACCCCGAGTCCTCTCAAGGTCGCAGAATGCGGCTTCTGTGGATCGAACACAGTGCCTCCAGATAATCAATTCTCCCTAGTAGATAGATGTGAATGAAGAAACAGAAGTTGGGCTTCAGTCTGGCGCTCTCCCAAGTGAGCTAAAGCCGCTGGGTTGGGTTGTGTTGTGTTTGGTGTTTTTGTTGGGTGGTACAAAGATAAATAGATAGATAGCTAGATAGTGATCTATTTATCTCATGTAATGAAATGGAACTTAACTGTCTATTGACTACTGTCTATTTCCGCAAGTGCCCAAAATATATATCCACGCAGTAACGTACTAACGTATTAACGTTGACCTTCGGCGGAGCAAATGTTTTCTTTCGTAGATGGCGAGGATTGTGGACCGTGGAATTTCGCTGTTTTGGTTTTTACTTCCAATTTGGACTGACTGATTGAGTGGGTGCATGCGTGGGTGAGTAAGTAACTTGAAGGGGTTTATAAAGCTTTATTTATATATATACATACATACACACACACCGAGAAATCCCCCCTCCTCGGCCCCTCATCACATTATATATAAAATTAAAAATCAACCAAGTATTTTCAGCGGTATTAGTTATATCATATTTACCTAGGTAGATATGTAGAAAGGAAGGTATCTATCTATAGGTATCTATATATCTACTTCCTTCTTCTAACCCATACCTATACGTACCTAGGTACTATAAGAGCGCGGGCCTGATGATCCGGGGAAGGGGAGTGTCTTGTTGAGAAGAAGATCCGTTGTGGGTTCATGAGTTATTTGGAGATGGAGATGGATGTATAATGGGGTTTTTTGCAGGCAGGTAGGTAATTGGGCAGGTAATTGATTCGCTTTTTTTGTTGTTTATGGGTAGTGTGGGTATGTATAGGTAGGTATATATGTATAAAGAATTATATTTTTTGCAAGTTTGCGAATTCATGATGAAGGGGAAAAAAGAGAGAGAGAGGGAGAGAGGGGGGAGATGAATGGATGGATGGGATTGAGAATCGAATTCGTTGATTTTTCCACTTTTTGGGGTTTTCAGTGAGGAAGGAAGATGGAGATGGATACTCACTTTATGCAGACTTGGATATTGGATGACGAGAGGAATATATGTTTTTTAGACGAAAATAGTGTATTTTATCTCCTTTGATTTCTCCAGGAATGGTTTTATAAGGGGTTTTGTATTTGGGAAATTTGTTATTGGGTTCTGGATCTAGTATGGTGTAATGTGAAAGAAAGAATTAGAATAAATCATCATTTATGTCGCGTCTGCTGAATATATCGATCGAGCCGGGTTTTCACAATTTAATCTCGAGTCTATCGACGTCTCTGGCTTCTCAATGTCATTTAAGAACTCTCGCGGTTCGATGTAGATACAAAATTGTATGCGTCACTTTTTATTAAGTTAGTTTGCACATAAAATGTAGATTCTTCCATGCGCATTGTTTCTGCATTGGGAATTGAGCGAGAGAATAGAAATGGAAATAGGCAGAGTTTTTGAGGTAGTTATGATGATTTTGTTTTTTTCTTGGGTTCTGACTTTGGATTTGCATTCGCATGTTGAGATGATGTTCGGGAAGAAGAGGAGGAGGATAGAAATATGGGAAATTGGATGAGGTGAATGCGCGTTGGGGGAAATTCAACACGCCGTCTTGAATGGTGATTGACTCGATGCTTTATTATCGGGTATGTAGGATGGTAGGGTGTGAGTGAAGTGCGAGGAGGCGAGACGATGGATCTTAAACTCTGTGAAGGGAAGTTAGCTGTTGTATTTTGCTGAACCAGATATTGGGAGTACCACTTGGGCGATAGAAGACCGTTTGGAACTGAAGAAGATGACACAATCCATCGAGAAGGATTTTGGGAAGGATCACACACATTACATGCAGAGAGGAATCATGACATGAGACTATTTTTGAATATCCATTGCATCCATAAAAGTATTTTCACTTTGAAACTACCAGGGGAAAGAACCAGCCAGTAACGAAGTAATAAAAGCCCAAATATAAGCTTCACTGTATCGTAGTATGTCATTTCATGCCCATAAATCGCGACTATAAACATGATTTCTCCGTCCAGCTACCCATTCCATACTTTAAAGTAGGAAATCGAAAAAAGGGAATCAAGACCCTTGATTATTTTAGATAGCCCAGCAAAAACCTTCATCAGACTAAACCTCCGAGCGATGTATGATCAAAAGGCTTTGAATGTGGAGACCCAGATCTGGCATGGCGATACGTAAAATCTAGATGTAGAAGGGAGGGCTTTCGAGTTAATGACAGAAATGTGAATCGTCTGCGAGAAAATCCTGCGAGAAAATCCTCGATTAAAAGCCGACTAACTCAATCCATTCAGCATAACACCTCATCGTTTGTCCTGACCAGCGGAGTCGTCTGTGTCTGTTTAGCTGATGCTCCAGCAATTTCAAACTGGGAGTTATCGCAGGCATGAAAAAATCGAAATTAAATTCTTGTTTCTTTGATCGAGGGTTCCAGACGAATAGTTTGTCTCTATTGACTGGGGGCCATTTGAAGAATAGTCCTTCCATATTCTTCCGTTTTTGAAAGACTCCTTCTAGATAACTAAAACGAGCATAGAAACCAGGAAGCCCCGGCAGGTTCGAAGGGGTGATTGGCAGCATAATTGGTCCCGTGCGATCTTCCAAGCGATAGCGCTGTTCATCTAAATCTTTGCCGTTGAAGTATTGATAACCCGCGAGCCCATTCCAGAGTTTGAGAACTTGATGTAGCTCCAATACGTGGCCACCTCTAGATACATGCATCATACCTTCGGAAGGGGTCCAGATGGCGGCGTTCAATGGGATGGTTGCGATTTGTTCCGAGAAAATGGAGTAGAAGTAATGGCAGGTAATTCCTAGCAAAACTATACATCCTGGCTCAAGTTGATCTGCGATGAGTAGAATGATATCTTTGGATAGGGTCGTGAGATTAGTGCTGGCTTCTAAGATGCTGTTAGTTCCTGTCATGAAGCATACTGATAATTTGAAGTCTTCGTCTTACCTTGAGAGTCTGTTTTCTTTAATGCCATTTTCTTGTCCTCAGCTCGCTCTATATCTTTGTTGGGATATTGAACGATCTTTGTTGCCATGTCTTCTTCCATGTTGCGGACTTTTGTTGGAATTGTTTACGTGCCAAACTTTAACTAGCGATTGTTGATCGTGGTTGAGAATGGAAGTGTGAGTCTTGATGATCGAATAATGTCAAAAGGTTTTTGATTTTGAGATCAAGGTTGAAAGTTTCGGATGAAAATGTAAGAGTATTTTTGAGGGGGAGGGGGAAATGAATCTAGTTTGGAGGATGAAAGTCGTATTTAAGCACACGGTCAAACCGTATGCCATAATAAGCGAGAGGTGTAGCGAGATTCCTTTGCCTTAATGCTGAAATGGTGACGATAGTATGACATACGAATGAATAATAGCTGGGGAGATAGCATCTTCTAGGGAGATCTGAAGTAATATGTAAATCTCGTCGTGTTGCGATGTTTCGATTGGTCAATGGTGGAAAGTTTTGATTGCATTATAGTTGCTAGAAACACGTCGAAGTTTAAGCTAGTGTACTGGATTATACATCAGCGAGTTCATCTCTATGAACTGTAGCACAGTATATTCCTTCTATTTAAGATCATACACATCTTACACTCCCAAAAATAGTACACGCAAATACATTCATTTGACACAATTGAGGCTGCCAAGGCTACATAGTCAACAAAGTCTTACTCTAGAGCTATAGGTTATTGGCGCATCGAATCTGTGGTTTTATCCTGATCGTCCGATTCCAAAAAGAAAAATATGGAATGGGCAAGAGCCGCAGCGACCTGCGAGTACCTTGATGAAGACCCCACCGGAGGTTTATGTTCTTACAATAAAGAACAGTGAATATATCTCTTCAATCACAATGATTGAGGGTGTGAAAATTTGATCTTAATAGTACAGCGAATACCCAACTGATGGTTTAGTGGTACGTGAGTAGCTTTCACACTATTCTCGCTACTGTAATCATAATACAGTTGTCTACAACTATCATAGACACTAGACTAGCGTAGTATTAGCTTAGAACCTGGCTTATAGGCAGCCACAGTTTAGATCTTCAATCAGCATCTCTTCCTGGCTACATCAACGTATTTTCTATTCCCAACACTCCTGTATCCCATTCTATAATCTCCTTTCCTGCACAACTTACCAGCAGACAAGTTTCCTGATCATCAACCCCTTACCTCAAGACACCTATTCGTTCTTTACATGATGACAAGACCGGCAAGACAGAAAAGACCTAACTGCAAGCCGAAGAAGGATCAGGTAAAAGCAATGCCAAAGCACAAGACAATTTATGCTGAACAAATTGAGTCTCTACATCACATGACTTATGAAGAACGAGTCGAGTTCGTGAAGATGATGGATGAGAAAAAACTAAGGATGAGCAACAGACTTGGTGCCAAAGCCAAGGCAAAGACCCGTAAGTCTTGACTCTGTTTTAACTTCTTGTATAGCAAACTAAAAAGTACCCCTAGAGTTCAAATTGCCAACCAGCGAAGCGCATATTACCAAGCTACCAACGGAGATAATCAATCAGATTGGGGATGAACTGGGCCTCTTTGGATGTCACAACAAAGTTCCGTTGGCACTGACTTGCCGACGTTTTTATCTTCTCTTCTGCAATGATATCATGAGGGTTCATATGATGGATTCTATGTGTTGTTGCACAATTGATAATCTATCCGGGGCTCATGAGGCTATCTGTCGACCACGGCCACTTTGGCGTCTTCTGGAAGATTGGAGCGGCTTTCATGGGTATCGATATTGTTTTGGGTGGCATTCAAAGTGCTGTTCGAAACGTTCAAGGCTCAAAGGGAGGTGTTCTTGCAGATATTGGACAGCCTCTGGAATACCTACCTTGATGCCCTGGCTAAGTCAAACGAGGATCCGAGTAAAGCATCAAGAAGCAGCTCGCAGAGATCTTTGTATTTCACTATCAGCTGGACTGTTTATCAAATGCCAGTCATATTGTTGTTTCAAATCAAAAGACATTCGACCAGATAATATTGTATCAAATAAAGTTCGACGTCGAGGACTGACGTTTCAAGACGCGATTCCAAATGCGGAAAGAATCCAATGTGAATTGGATAG